GTAACAACGGCGAAGGAGGTCGCCGCTTCTGTGGAGAAGCAGAGGCTGGGTGGAGGCGAAGGTGAATGGCAAAGTAGCGACGAGCGAAGTTACCTGTGGCACGAGCCGAACTAGAGGCAACGCGGCGGAGTCTTGGGAACGAGGTAGAGAATATGAATGGTAGGTAAGAGAGTCGGCATGAGGCTGGAGGCTTACGTTTTCTGCTGTCGATGACTGCATTAGGTTATTTTCGTACTCTCTACTCGATTGCCGTGCGAGCGGCCCACCCGCCCTCCCACTAACAGCCAAATGGCTGATCGGAATTGTCTTTGAAGGGTTTGGGTACCGCGGGAGTGTGGTCGCAGACGCAATGGCCTTCCCCACAATAAGTTAGTAGTGAGTACGGATCACGCGATGACGTTTAAGCAATCCCTTCTCCCCCTTCCCACGTACAGGTACTGCAGCGACAGGTGCCGAGGCAACAGGGGCAAGAACGCTGCAGAACCAGAATCAGCGCTTTCGAAGGAATAATCATACAGGAATTGACTTTGATTGCATCACATCTGTCCTGACGAATTTTCATTTACTCAGCTCGACGACAGATATTCGTCTGCTGCAGAATTTTTGGAACGTCCAGTTGCTGTTCGGCCCAGTTGCAGTTCACGTACATTTGTAAGGTTGCCCAAGAAATCGACTGCTCTCGCCTTACATATGGTACACACATGCACGTGAGGACTCTGCGCAGTTGTATGCACAAGCCGCATCCGTACTTGGCAGCGCAGCGACTTGCACATCCGTGCAACCGTGTCTGTGCTACCACCGCTAGGATGAGTGAAAGTATAATTCACGCATGGGGTAGACGTGGGATGTATATAACCACACACACACACACACACATACACCAGTGTTCTCACCATTTCAACTGGTCCCTTTGTCTACAGGAACCGACTATAACAGACTTTCTACCCTTCTACCTGCCGCCCCACCTCAGGGTGCAGCATGACACCCATGATAGTGTATATACGGACAGGGAGCAGCCTCACTGCTGGCCATCTTCACTCCTGCCCGAATCCTTGCCTTTCCCTTATGTTTCATCGAACGCACAGGTGAACTTTTCCGGATTGGGTGTCGGAGTCAGGTTCAGCGCCTACCACCACCACCGGCATTTAGTAGGGTGGCACGGGGTGATTCGCTTGGATGGATTGCAATTTATTCTTCCATTAATTGACCGGGGGGGGGCCCCAGCTCCAACGTCACCTCTGCTCCAGGACACCACGCAAGCCTCTCTAGTCAATTCTTCCAGTATCCATCGGCAATGGCAGTGGGCCCGCACTGCTTTATCCCCCGCTTCTTGAGGGGTCACAATGCCTGGGAATGGACCCTGGTTCCCGGGGACGCTTGTGTCGCTCCCTAACACGCGTCCTGTGGCGCTATGGCAGTGCATCATGCGGCCCGGGTTGCAGCGGACCATCAAGGAGACGAAGAACAGCATTGTGACATGCCGCTGACATACTTACCCGCGCATCCGCCCCAAAACTGGCAAAGTGGTGTTCCCCTCGTATCGCCGCGGTTGTGGATCCTTGGATCCTTGCACACTGATGCTTCCGCTAGGGGGGAGTGAATGGAGTTATCCTGTAAAGGGACTCTATCAGGCCACGTATGCTCCTGATACGTTCACCAGTCTGGGGTGGATGTAAGGAAAAGGATTGATAGCTGAATATCAGTCGGACATGTAGGCTTTAGCTTCGTCAAAATAGGTTACACGTCCATTAGGTAGTTAAGGCAGCAGATAAAGACAGCAACCAGACGAAAGGGCTAAAATACCAGGGCTGACGGAGAGTATCTTCGTTTGTGGTGGTGTACACGCAAACTTGATTCGCGCCGGTGCCCCATTTTGCCTTTATTTTTGAACTCATGGCCCCCTCCAGTGTTGCCTCCCTCCTTCTCCCGTGTCCATACCTGTATCGGTCCTTAACCGTGCGACGCCAAGGCTGTTCGATTGATCACGTTCGCGCAACACTATGTGGCACATGAAGTAGGAACCCCTCTCCCGCGTAGGTTTGTGGTCATTACTCCTTCAATTGCTATAACTCGGTGAGGGTCAGGATATTCCTTCCATCCATCCCGAAAAGCCAGTGAAATGCTTGTACCATCCATGCACGTATACATGAAGTCGTGCATAGAAAAATGAAGAAATAAGGACATCATAGATGCGGTATTCCAGCTTAAACACAGAAGCATCGCTGCGGGACCCAGTCCTGGTACATACGATTCCCTACCAGTCGAACCAGCATGCTCCTACCTCAGGCAAGGTCCGCCATCAGATCACTTTCATCTGCGGCTTTCCACCTGGACTGCTTCATCTATTTCACCGATTTGGGCAAACAGTCCGGACACCAATGCGGTACATCGGCTAAACATGACTCTCATGGATGGAGCAATACCAAGCATAAAAATGTGCTGATGCTTCCTCAATACTACTATGCTACCGTTATTGTCGTATTGTACCATACTGTTTCTTGTAACCCCCCATTCTCTTCTTCTCTGCTATGCCTGTCTCTAGGCCCCGCAGCGATGGGGCTATAAGCCGTCGAGTTGTCTGGGCCTGACAGGGCCCCCCTCGAGCTTGTAAAAAATATCAAACAATATCCGCACTTAAGCGACAGCCATCTATAACACTACACAAATGCGACAGTTCAACCTATGCAACCAAAGCAACCTGACAAACGTGGTATGCTACTCCGAAGCTACTCGTCCCGTTCTGCTACAATGGCATCAACAGTCCGGCACGATGCGCTTTGAAACAATGCCCGTACTTCTCAGCAAGATGCAGTGCACGGCACTGCGCACGATGTATGCATGAAAAGAAGGACATGCCTTGTAGCGCAATCTTCACCCTTACTCTGCGGTGGTCATCCGCGCATCGATTTATTCAACCATTCAACCCAGAACCTAGCGCGCCGACATGCGCACGTCAACGCACCAATCCCCAATCCTCAAACTCATGTACAAGTCCTGTTTCTTCACACTACTCCGATCTTCCAATCTCCGCCTGAGAGCAATGCCTCCCTTACCGCAGACGTAGTGACGCCCGTGTTAATAAACGCGACGGCGTTTCCTTATGCGTCTGATAACAAAGCCGTATTGCGATGCAAACTGCAACTGCTCTATGCAAATTGGTAGTGCATCTGTACACATGCTGTCCTCTCATCCCAGCCCGACATGCTGGCGGCTCCCAATCTCAACAGCCGGCTCCGCCGCCACCTACGACACCAGCCTACGGCCCTGTTCATCTGTTTGTTGATCCACCTCAGATAGAAGCTTCCTGGAGTTGATTCGCCGCCACTGTGTTTACCGCCATCCCGCCATCAACAACATTAGCTGCGGACTCTCCGCCGCTGCCGCCACCGCAGCTGCTGCTGCTGCTGCCAGCGGCGACGCTGCCAATGGCAGCAGCGTCGCCCTTTCTCCTGCAGTCCTTGCCGTGCCCAGCCTTCCAGTGCGCCGTCTGGCATTCTTTGCAGCAGTAGCGCACCAGGCCGCCGCAGCGCCCGCAGCCGAGCAGCCGCTGTCCCGCCTCGCTGTCCCCGACCAGGCGGACACATTCAGGGTTGCTGCACACGGGCAGGGCAGCACGCGCCTCCCCGGGGGTCACCATGCAACCAAGTACCAGCGACCATTTCTCCAGGAATGCTACCCGGTCACACTTCCCTTCGTCACCGGCGCCGTCGTTGCGAAGGGTAGCCACGTTGGCGTCCAGGAAGCCCCGCCCAGCCACCTCCGCCTCCGCTGCCACTGCTGCCGCGCATGCGGCCTCCACTTCCCTGACCAGCCCCACGTCGCCAAGTTTGCCGCCCGGGCCCACCAAACTCCACAGATATTTCAAACCACGTTCGACTTGAACTGGCCCTGGCGGCGCCGCGGTGTGCAGCGCCGTGCGGGCGCTGTCGACGAACTTCCACGCCTTGCCGCTTTCCCAAGACGCCACCACTACCGCCAGTCTGGTAGGCATCCATGCCGCCAGTAGCCTAAGCGCCGTTTTCCAGTTTGCTAAAAGGCTAAAGTCACGCTTATTCGAGCAGATCAGGTTATCCACCACGTATGCCACCAGCGACACCTGTTCCAGTAGCTTTGCATCGTACAGCAGTAGCTCGTCCCAAGCATTTGCCTTGATCATCAATCGCTCCGCTGAATCGCCCCCAATGGTTTTGCCTGCCAGCTGCTTTACCGCCGCAGCAGCCACCATGAGCTGTACGTACGACAATGTGTACGTCAACGCCTTGGCAACGAAATGCAGCACTGTCACCTCCACTTTGCCCTTATTGTTCAAGCGTTCCACAAGCCGCGCCGTATGCTCGCAGACGACTGGCAGCAGCCGCGAGGCCATATGAGAAATGTTTAACCCGAGATGTTCACGGGAAAGTTCATGCATTTCAAACAGCCCTTTGCCGTTCGGTGAGATAGCAATGCCGCCACCGTTGCCCCTACCCTCACCGTCAATTTTCGCCTCCCCGAGCCCACTTCCACCTCCCTTTGTTTCACTTTCGCTGACGCGGCCCCCAAGACCGGCGCCGACAAAGCTGGCCGCATAACCATCGCCCTCCTGGCAAAAGCCAACATCCCCGCCGCTGCCACTCCCGCCGTTGCCGTCCTCGCCGCCAGCATCTCCCCCGCTGCCGTCCCCTCCGGCTGCAACCCCAAGCCCAGCTGGTTCCAGATCCTCACCAATGCCGCTACGGCATGCACCGACGCTCTCTGGGCCCTCCTGCTGCTGCGCGCTGTCCTGTGCCGTGTGTGACACAGCCTCCGGGCCCTGCTGGGCCGCGGCACAGCCCTTGCTGCACCACGACGGGGCATCCAGAACCGCATCGAGCTGCACCAGCTCCGCCCCAACGCTCAAGACGTACGCTGACGTGGCCAAGGCCCCCCCTTCTGATTCCCGCACCTGCTGCTCCGCAGCTCGACAGAGTACCCGGAAACGGCCATTGACGCCCTGGTCTAGGTCATCGGCAACCCCGCCAAATGGAGTGCTGCACCCCTCCGCCTCAACCATATCATTCACCTCCCGCGCCGCACACACCCACTCCTCCATCGCGGCCGCATTCGCAGTTGCATTCCGCACCAGCTTGGCGACAGTGCTTAGCAGGGAGGCGGTCTCATTAGGACGACCGAAACACAGCGCCAACGTCCAAGGTACAAGTTTTGATGCGAGTCGTCCGGCGGTCCGGCATGGCAGCAGCACCTGCGGACAGGGTTTTAGGGTTTCAATGAAGGCCTGGCATAACATTAAACCACGTCCAGGAAGCGGCTTCACCCCGCCCAGGGCCGGTCGCTGCTGCGATGCGGAGCTGAATTGTCATTTAAATCTCAAGACAGGAGCAAATGGGAGAAGGGGTCTCCTTACGTGTGCAATCGTTATCCCGACGTTGCTACGTGATGTTGGATGGCGAGTGGGGTCTTGCGAAAGAGCGCACAGATTCAAGCCATCGCTCCGAGTCATGATCCGTACATCCCAGGATACTAACCCACGGTGCCCCTTGAGGCACTACCTCTCCCGCTCGGACCGACCAATCGCCAATCCGGCCCCATGCAGCAAAGTCGAGAGACGTCCCCAGCTGGTCCTTTACTCCTGGCCTCATCATCGTGTTACACCCCCCTTACGCCCCCGGCTGCTCCCCACCTGCAAATTTTCTGACCTCCGCAGCAGCAGCTCCGCCATTCTGAGGTAGCCGTGCTTCAGGGCCACGACCAGATCCGCGGAGGGCGCTGTGATGCCTCCTGTGAAGGAGACAGCCGTGGGGACCCCGGTAGGGTCGGGTGAAGCAGGAGCGGGGTGGAGCGCGGCGCCGTGGTGGCGGCGGTGGCGGATTGTGTGTATGTATGTATGTGCATGTACGTGTGTTAAGGGGGAGGGAATGGAAGCGGGCTAATGTGGCGTGGGAGATACGTCAAGGAGGACACTGAGGTGGAATACCCATTATGTATTATATGCGACATTATGCGACATATTACTATGTTGTTCCTTACGTAGAGCTGAGGAGGGAAGGGAGGGGAGTGCATAAGAGAGGCAAAGAGGATGTGGAGGTTGCGGGAGGAGACGGAAGAGTGCGTTTCCCTGAGTTTAAGCAAGCCTACGGCGCTCCACGGAATGCACTATCCGTGTGTAGGTTTGTGAAAGAGAAAATGTGTGATGTTGTATACGAGGTGTGTGTACACGCAGAGAACGTAACACCGAAGAAGCCATGACCTGCTCCCCATCAAACACATATACATGCAGCATCCCTTAGCATTCCCACGCCCACCGCCTTCTATACCCCTCTGCCGCCGCCACTACCACCCGGGGCGCCTCACCGATGCTGCTGCAGGCCGGAACTCGCAGCGGCAAGAGCGTCGCCAGACTCTCACACCTACTGCACACGGTGTCACTTGCCGACCGCGCCTCACCAACAGCCAGCCGAATGAAGCTCGACACCCGGCCCCACCAGTCCCGGAGCTGCGCCATTTCGCATGGTGGCGTGTCCGCCTGGGACAACAAACCCACTTTCCACATGGCCTCACGGGCACATAGCAGAGCCTGCAGGCCCAGCGACACGGCGTCGGATAACAACGGGGCCTGCGGCGGCCTCCGCAGTTGTGTTCGCTGCCCGGTGTCCCGTGAGCTCTCCTTGGGCGCTTGCTGCTGTTGCTGTTGCTGCTGCTGCGGCGGCCGATGTTGCCCAGGGCCCTGGCCTCCCGCCTCCGGCCGTAAGTTGCATGGGCCAGCGGGCGCTGCCGCCGACGCCGCCGTCCCCGATGCCGATTGCCGCAGCTCCTCCGTCGCCGCTGCCGCCAGACGCATGGACACATTAAAGGTGGCAGGCAGGTTAAACGGCGGTACGGTGAACGCGGAGGACCTTGGCAACGCCCGTAAGTTCCTGACGGCCTCCTTGAGCTCATTCTCTCGCTTCATAAGTGCAAGGTACGAACATGTGGGTTGCCGAGCCGGCCCCCCTCCTCCTTTTCCCATCGCCGCTGCTCGCTGTACCCCGGGGTTGCTCCCTGCCTCCTCGCCCTCCTCCTCCCCTTCTGAGACGACATGCACGTTATTGCCATGGTCGGCCATTACAGGAAATATCCCTAAGCTGGTCTGTGTCATAAACTGCGCGTCCAGCCAGTTTACACGGCCAGCTATCCAGTCCACTTCCGAGATGCGTTCGCGCCAGATACACAGAGCCAACTCAGCGAGGAAGGTATCTATACTCCTGCATGGGTAACCCCTCGAAAACAGCTGTCCGTCCTTGCATAGCAGCCCTGGCGCTGCCCGTGCCGGCATGCCGTACGTAGTTCCGCCGTCAAGTACGGCAGCCAGCTGTACCAGATGCGCTGACAGCAGGTAGGACAGGCTGTCTTGGTTTTTGGTAAGAATGCCGCAGGTAGGCTGAATCCGCTGTATGAAGATGAATAGTTTGCGTTGTAGCTTCGCAAGTGTATCATCCGACGCTCCGGCGCGACGTGCAAGCAACAACGTGCGAGCCCAGTGTTCCAGTACGCCGCTTAGCAAAAGCTCTCCAATCAGCTCCCCAGTCAGGGCCCGGGCGTCGGCGCGCGAGGTTTCAAGTGAGAAGGACATCGCGTGCAGGAGGTCCGCGGTCTCGGCGAGCAAGTCGATGGCGACTGAGACGGCAGCTCGCTGCACATGGGGTCTTGGTTCCTGCTGCTGTAACTGCGAGGCGCTGTCCGCCAGCAGGGCGGCGTAGCATCGCAGGGACTGGCCACGAACCAATGAAATCGCGATAAGTTGATCATGAGCTGACCATGAGCCTGAAGAGCGCAGACGGAAACCTCTGATGTATATGAAATGTCCAACCAGAGCTGTGCGGAGGGATTTCCACGCGTCACGCTCCGATTCGCTAAGGCCAGAAGCTGCAGCTGAGTAGCGTAGCGACCAAGACAAGCAAGCGAGCGGTTCCACCAGGTCCTTCTCGGGATAAAGCGCCCATATGCTAACGTTGGACTCGCAGTCACGTGAAGGAGCCAGCAAATAGCTTAAGTCCCGTGCTATGGATGAAATCTCGCCGAGATTACCGGTACCTGATGGCCCTGTGGTGAGAACCTTCAGTCTCCGCATACACTGCGTGAGCAGACGGGACCGCACCGTAGCTGAGGCCGCACGGTGCCCAGAGCCATGGCGTTGGTTGGCAGACATTGGACCCCGATACCCCAGCAGGCTCAATAGGCATTAGTTATAGTAAAATCATATAATAAAAGGAGAGGAGGCGATGCAGATGATGCAAAGAGGAAGTTGGGCTTTGCCCTTAACCTAGCTTCAAAGCGGGATGCCGTCCGTCCGTCTCCGCTAACTATGCAGGTTGGCTAATTTTGCGTGACCACCCCATTTGCGCGTTCAGCCTAAAAACCGATCGGCAGATTGCGCCAGTGGCCAACACTTGCTTGGTACGACAGGGTGCCTGGAGCGCCCATTTCACCTGCAACCTGCCCGCTGTTGCTTGGCACAACACTCTGAATGCGTGAATGTAAGCAAAGATCCGTAACCAGTTACGGGGGGCTCGGAAGGGTTGGCTACATCGGTCAGCACTGATTGGCCCATGATTGGCCCAGGCATCGCCTGTATTGCCAAATGGAAACCTTTTTACAGGGAGCACGCATCTCAAACCGTAGAACGGTTGGATAATTGACCCCACCAACTCCACCACGTAGGTTTCCATGACCACAGGGCAAGGTGGAGAGATGACAAACCAGGCAACGGTAAAGGGTACCAATCCATGACCATCATACAACTAGTCTCCGTCCATAAGTCATGCAGACAAATGGCGGTTGCCTGTGCTGCGATGCCCAGTGGCACTGTTTGATTTTATGCTCACACCCTTTTTCGTCTGGCCTGCATACTGTGCCCATGTGTTGCAAATTGCTACAGCCCATATATTGCACGTTTGATACAGAGCTATGTCGGCCAGTGTAAAGGCACAAATTTCGTGTGGGGCTTCTGGTTTGTCGTGGCAGGAATGTTCGAAACGGTAGAAGCGTCCTGACGCGTTGTCGAGGTGGATCTTGGACACACGGGGACAGACAATCGAGAGTTAAGGAGATTTCAAGCAATCCCTTGCACTCTCGGAGCCTGGTCCAGAGATGGCGGCCACGAAGGCGTCCGAAACACGTCGGTCTACCTACGGGGAAACACTCGTACAAATGCTGAACATAGGACTATGCGAGTCCCGTTGCACCTGCCCATCCAAATCCCTACACCCCATATCCATGGATTGACGAAGCATTAGGATATCTTGGATATGCGTGAATGGGCAAGCGGCTCCATCGCTCATAAAGACGAAGCGTAGTACACGGGGACTCCGTGCTGCTGGGGCTTCATACCAAGGTTTCCGGCAATAACCACATTACTCCACATTTTGCCATGAATTAAAACAGCTGCAAGTTGTGGGTCTCCATTAAAGATGAGCCCGTGGGTGGAATTACCGTGACGGTGTATATATCTTGAGCAAGTAAGGATTGTACCCTGGAGTATCCAAGCTGATGATTAAGCGTAGAGGAGCATAATTATGGATGCTAGCAAATAGCATGACCTCACATTTCAAGGCAACGCCCAACCTTGAAAACTGCCCAATTTTCGTACGGTGTGCCCCGCCCCGTAACACACCCAAAGCGCCCAGATCATCGCAATCACCAGAGCAGTTGTCCATCCGATATGGTAACTTATCATCGTTAGTAGTTATGCGCATGGCAGGTGACTTTGCCGTTCATGTTGAGCTAGGATAACTCTTAAACATTTTATAGGGCGACCGTTCATGCCAAGCATCCTAGAGGCGCTGAACTCCTTCAAAATGTCGTTTAGTAGCTTGTACCAGCGTCTGCTGGTCGCAGCCGGGGCTGTCGCTTTCCTAGTCGTTAAATGGTTCTGCAGACCCGTGCGACGTCAACCGCCCGTTGAGCCTCAGGTACTCTTAAAGCAGACGAATGATTACAAGCTCTGCGCTATCGCACTACCTTACACGTTTCGGCGCTGCAGGCTCAGCCCATCCAGACAGCGCCTGAGGAAGTGGCGCTGCTCGGAGCTGATGCGGATGGAGATGTAGACTTAGACCCTAGGGACGCTGTAGACGCGGCGCCGAACACGACAGGGTATGAGGCGCCTGAGCTGTCGCAGCTTGACGGAAAAGAGCAGCTCCACGATAACGCAGCCGTGGCGCCGGAAGAAGTTATCATGGAGCCGGCACAAGTTGTTTCTCCCATTTCACGGCTCCCTTATGAGCGTCGTTTACGGGAAAGCGCGGCGCGCCAGGATTTGCAAGGCAGTTCCAAAGCATCTGCCAGCGCTGAGAGTGTGGAGCCCCCAACCCGCGACCAGCCAACAGCTGTCAGACCTGTTGATGAGTTATATCTCAGATCGCTCATCGATCAGGAGTTGGGAGTTCCAAAGTTTGCAGTTCGCAAGCCGGCACCAGGCATCGGGGAGCAGCTGCCGGTATCTTCCGGGGATGACCGGTCGCTGCAGGATCTCCTTGATCAGGCCTTCGGACCCCCAAGATTCGCGGTTCCAAAGCCCACTTCAATCCTGGACGGCGGGGCTGATAGAGAAGCTTGCAAGGGCCCCGCTCCCGTTCCAGCAACTGCAGCCAGGGAGCCGGTAGGGGCCTGTGCGGCATCTGGATCACGGCTTGCAGCGATAGCTGTATCCCCAGACGTAGCTCCTACGGGGGGTCTGGTGGGTGTGAAGCGCAGTGCAGCGGAAGAAATTTCTCGTCATATCACTGATGTGGAGCCGGATGACGTAGCGCCGCCGGAGCCAGAGGGCTTTATGATGCTCACCCTGAGCGTCACACATGGCCCTGCGTCTGGCAAGCGCATGGTGGCGGACCCAGCAGGCGAGGTACGACTGGGGAAGCTGGAAAGTATGCGAAAATTGGTGAAGTGATTCAGGCTTGACCGTGCTGTTGGACTTGAGTGTTATGCTGCTTTGTACGGACAGGAAGAGGGGGGCGAGAAGGCAAAACGCACATGGCGGGATTAGGAGGAAGGGAGGAAGTAGTGCACATGGAATAGAAGAAGGTGTTCAATCAGGTGCGGTGGAGGTTGGGACGTAGGGGGTTTGCAGATGTCAGGGCCCGCTCAGTGCGGGTGGCTCGGCTTCCGAATGCGTTGGGATTGGAGTAAGAGGGGCAACCCTGGTCGCCGGCTTGGACCCACAATGCGTGGTGTCGCTCAGGCGAGGCACGAACGTTTAAACATCTGAAGGTCTGTGGAAGAAGAAGTGAGAGAGCTAATTAGTTTAGGAATTCCTAGCTCGACACGCCTGCCACGCGCTGCGACTGCTGGGTGCGTGTGCTCATAAGGGGTATTTTTACTCGTCCCGGAAGTCATGGTATTCGAAGGGATAGCGCTTTTTGTTTCGGCGCTGCAGTTTCGGTACATTGCAAGTGTTGAGTGGTGAGCCACTAGGTCCAAGCACTGCGTCTGCATGCCCCGCTATCCCGTGAATGTCATTGAGAGAGTGGCATGAAAACGGCAGACAATCCCGGAATGGCAAACCCACATGTAGACCTGGAAATAGGAAAGTTGCTAGGGTTGGAGCGTGGTGCAGTAGCAATTGTAGTATCATCATAATCGTCTCACGCCGGCCTCCCGCCGGGGTCTGCCTTCCTCACGCTCCGTGTCTGTCTGTCTGTCCGTCAGTCAGTCAGTCAGTCACAACAGCCGTAACTGCCATGCATATTACACAAATTGTTGCTATCTAGCCACACCTATTGAGACGCCTGTTCGACCATTCTCTTGTGGGTCACCGTCGTACTGAACATGGCCCCTCGGTGGCCCTGGTGCTGATGTTGCTGCTATGCTGTTGTACGAATGGTCAGTATACGATTGGGCGGCTGCCGGACTCCTGGCTCCAGATCATGGATCAGGAGGTTTCGGGCCGCCATGCCGCTGTGCGGTGGGACAGCGCCTCGGGCCGCTGGATGCTGGTGAGTCACAGCAGGTCCCGGAAGCTGACTGTTACGGTCGGGGACGGGGAGGAACAGCACTGGCAGCTGTAAGCCAGGGCAGGGCCCCGTGTGGGGCCGTGTGGGGCAGGGCCGCCCCGTGTGGGTAGTAATTCCAGGACATAGTTGCGATAGGGCGATGGAGGGCACTTGCTTCAGTTGCAACATGTGGAGAACGGGGCTGGGTAATTGCTGTCAACTGCATGTCCTTCGTTGCCCATGGCCTCTGCGTCACCACCTCCGTACAATCCCCTCACAGACCACCCTCCAGTCCCCACCCTCCTTGTTCACATTCCGCTGCCCCCCGGGAACCCCCCGCGGACCCACAACCATTCGTTTACCCACTTCACCACATCCACACCCATCTCCGTTTCCGCATGCCGCGCCCTCGGGGTCCCTTCCTTCCCGGATCTTGATTCTCCAATTCAATCTAATCACGCCAGCGCGACATGGGCTCTCTGAACGGTACGGCGCTGGCGGGTGAGCCCATTGGCCGCGAGTACAAGGTACCTGGAGATGAGCGGCCGCTGTCCCACGGCGACGTCGTACAGCTAGGCAGCGACACGCTGCTGAGGGTGGAGCTGTCAGAGGCTCGGGCGGAGCCCGCGGCCCCCGAGGCGTCGGCGGTCGCGGAGGCCGCCGTCGCGGCCGCCGCGGCCGTGGCCGCGGCATCGGCGGCCGCCAAGCGGCATCATAGCGGCGCAGGCTCTGGTGCGTCGGCGTGTGGGGTATGTGTGGCTTAAGAGGCGGGGGAGGTCCGCTTGGCGTCCGAGGGTGGTGGTAGGGGGTAAGGGGCTGGGACGTGAAGCAAGGTGTTTTGGAGCTGCTGGGGCCGTAGCCGGGACCATACAACGTTTCTTTACTCACCTAGCGGTTGCGACCACACAGGCTGGCCGTCGACGTACTGATTGTTTTGGCCCGATCTGGGTCGGCGGTTCCTTCAGTCACCAACCCCCCTTTTGTGCACCGCTGCCTGGTAAACAGCGGCAGTGGGTGTTTACACGTTCGCACATTTCCCCCCCTCCCCCGCCTCTAGACGTCGGCACCTCTCGGTAGCTGGCTCTTTGCTTCCTGCATCACATGATTCCCGTCGTTTCTCCACCACCTCGAGACTTTGGACGTCGGCAGTTGACTTCTTCGTCTTATTTGCATCATTTTGTAATATTTCCGCCTTCAGACGCCGCCTCCGAGTCCTGGAGCGGCAGCATCCTCCGCAGCCACCAGGAGACAGTGGCGGGGCTGCCGGGGCTGCCAACCCCCGGAGTGCAGGTCGACTGTCCGGAGCTGGGGGCGCGGCTGTACGTCCACAACACGGTAATGATACGATCGCGGCTTTGAATTTGCGATTCGGGGTGTGGAAATGCGCGGAATGTGGACGGCCGCCGAGCTAGGCGTAGGGATGAGACAAAGGCACGGAGAGGGAAGGGGAAGGGCGGATGGCGCGCGCGTGTGCGCCTACTTTTTTTCTTCTACAAGGTCTTGCGCTTTTAGCATTATGCGTGGTCATAGCTTCGCATGGCGCTGGGTCATATGTGCTGCCTCCGTTGCGGAATCACCGTTGCCAGTTTTCGCAGCAATCAGCCTTTTCCCCTCCTTCCCTCCCGCTCCTTGCGAGGGGGGGAATTTGGAGTCGTCGGCGCCTGTTCCACTTCCACTGACTGTTGCATCAACAGATGTAATTCCTCCCTCTCGTCGGCCGCCGTGATTCCTATGCATGCATGCATGCGCGCTCTATTACTAGTGTCTTTCGGCTTTCCCGATTTGGCTGTCCAGTTATTATGTTGTTTGCTATATAGCACCTGCCCGCCTCCGGCCTTTTCCCCACTCTGCGCCGCCGTACAGCTGGGGGTCGACCACAAGCGCTTGCGCCAGGGCTGTGAGGACGTGCCGCACTGGGAGCTGCCCTTCGGACCGTACACCGGCGCCGGCATCGTGTGCGTCTTTGATGGCCACCACGGCAGCAAGGTGCGTGTGTAACGGCATCATCATCATCATCATCATCATCATCATCATCGTCATCATCGTCATCAGTACCACCACCACCACGCAGCAGAGGTTTGTAACGTTTCCCCCCAAGAACCTTCAAATGGCCGCTGCTGTGGTAGGGCCCTATCGGGGTTTTCGTACTAATCGTTATCCTTCTCCCTGGCTTAGCCACCACAAGCAGCTCTCCTCGCCATATGGACCGCCTAATCCACTGCCCCATGCAGCCCAGGGCGGCACCTCTTTATCTTGGGGGCCGGCTATGGGCGCCTGTTGCGGACGCAACAGGCAACAGGCGCTTCCTCTGGGTTGTGCCCGCCTTGCTTGAGCCTGCAATCTGCGCCTCCCCCTCGACATTCTAATGCCGCCCAGCCACCCACCCGCCACCCGGCCCCGCCGCAGTTGGTGCTTCAGCCGTCGGCGCTGCTTTGTTTCGCAGCACGAGCCAACTCCGCCAGCGGCCGCGCTTCCTTACATGTTGCACGTAGTTCCTCCTAACCCCAACCCACCCCACCCCACAGGCCGCCAACCAGGCCAAGGAGTATCTGCTGCCCGTCCTGCGATCCAAACTACTGCGCCGCGACGGCCGGCAGCCCCCGCCGTTGCCGCCGCCGCCCCCACCGACGCCGCCGCGGCGAGCCGAGGGCGAGGACGGGGAGGACATGGTGGAAGCGTACGATGGCGCCAGTAGCGATGACGTGCTAGAGGAGGAGCCGGCGGACCGAAGCGGCAACGCTGGCGGTGCCGCCGCCGGGCGAGAGGGTAATGCGGGTGCCCCCGATGCGATAATGAGCTCATCCCAGGGGACTGGCCCCAGCGGCGGTGGCGGTGTTAACCAGGACGCTGGCGTCCCGGAGCACGGCGGCGGTACCGCTGCCGTCGGCACGTCGGGGCCCGCGGCTAATGGCCGCGGCGGCGGTGATCCGCCGGCGGACGCTGCGCTGGGAGGGAAGGAGGAGGTGCTACCAGTGGAAGAGCTGCCGCCACCGCCGCCGGCGGGGCCGCCGCTGCCACCTCTGCTGCGGGGTCGTGACCCGGAGTCACAGCGGTCGCTGCTGAGGGTGAGTACTGAGATGTGAAGGAGCCATGCTGCGACCGTCCCCCCCCCACCGCGCGCATGTGCGGCTGTTTGGAGCTTGTGTGACTTAAGGCAGAGGGGAAACGTGGACGCGGCCTCCGTCTCCTCCTCATTTGAACTCCTCTTATTTTCCCTTCTCCTCTGTCTATTCTGGTGGCTCACCGGGAATGCGTGCAGGAAACGTTCCTGCATGCCGACCAGTTCATGTCAATGGGGGAGGGCTGTACCGCCACCCTTGTCATGATGGAATCGGACCCGCAACAGGGAGGCTGGATGCTGCAGGTGGGTGGGTACGTGCGTCTAGCATGACTGTGCAGCGCTGAGAGGGGCGAGTGGTGACGTGACGTGCATACATACATGCATACATGCGTACGCGCATCCCATGTGTGTTACTCCTGTAGGAATAATGTGTAGGAATGATCACGATGCCCTACTCGATATGCGGCTGGTCGGGGTTTTGTTGGTTTAGAGGGGCGGGCGGTCTGGGGGGATAAAGGAACGTCGGCAAGGCTCACAATTGATCATGCCGCCGGACGTCGCCCGTACGAAGCCTGTCGAAAACTGAACACATTACATACACCCATCACATACCGCACACATTCCTTCGTGGCCAAAGCACAGCATCGTGGAAGCACTGCAACGCGGGACGCGGGTAGCCCCGTCGACAAACCAACCGGTGGACACAATCATCGGAATCTTTATCCCCCCCCCCGGTCAGCCCAGCTCCCTAGTCCCTGCAGCCAGCTTGCTTATTCGCCTGCATTTCCCTTCCGTCCTCGGCCCATTCCCGTCCTCATGTGCTACCCGGCTTCACAAGCGCGTACGTGCGAATAGTCGCTGACGATACCTTTCATCCCCTCCTCCCCATTTGCGGCCTTTGTACCGCTTACCCCAAAACCGCGTCATGTTGTCAGAGCGCCAACGTGGGCGACTCCAGTGCGATGTTGGTCAACTTCACTCGGGGCAGCTGGTGCAAGCTGAGCGAGGACCACCGCATCGCCTCATCCTCCAGCGAGCGGGAGAGGCTGGCGGCTATGGGCCACAGAGTACGGACCCGCCTGTACGGCCTCAATATCAGCAGGATGCTGGGAGACAGGTGCGTCCCAAGGGAGCGCCGGGGGCAGGGGCGCGGGGGAAAAAGCGAGGGAAACAGCGACAAGAGGGGTAACAGGCACCAAGATTGAGGTCGAGAGCGGCGTCAGTCGTTGGCGATTGGAATGATGGGCTTTAAGGTACAGACCCGGGGGGAGAGGCAACGCCGCGGTAGCACAATGTGCGTGTTGCGGGTCAAGGTCCCAGTAGTTGCTTGCTGGTGCGCACTGCCGCGGGATGCATGAAGAGAAGGAAGGGTTTTCCCTCCTAAGGGGTCGAGGAAATGAAGCTTGAATTTTCGTTATCGCAGTGGACTGGAGAAGTACGGACTTGCCGCTCGTGTACTTATTCCAAGTCGGCGGCTTTTCCCTTCCAACCTGCTCTCGTTTGATTTGCACAACCGCAGGTTCCTGAAGGAGGAGAACCTTGGCTTCCTGGCAGAGCCCCATGTGAGCCTGCCCGTACAGGTGCGTGTGGGCTGAGGGACCTCACGGCCCTATGTTCTCTCTCTCCCTGCCTCTGATCCAGGTTCAGGTTCAGGGCACCTGTGTCCTTTCCGAAGCCGATCTTCTCCTCCACGGCACACTGAAAGCCGCTGTTCTTCAATCCCTGTGCCACAGGTTGCCCCTGGTGACCACGCGGTATTGATAGTGGCCAGTGACGGCCTATGGGACGTGCTTTCCGAGGAGAGGGTCGCAAGGATGCTGCTACAGGTGAGCGGCAGCCTGCGGGGGTTACAAACAGCTAGAGATTTGCCCTACCCTGCTCTACCCTGGCCTGCTCGATCTGCGCTACCTTAATGTGGATTCGGCGGTCGGGAGGGGTAGCCTTGGGATTTGGAGAGGCAAGAAGGGAGGGGTAGAAGGGAGGGCTGCATCGGACATCGAGGCTCGTGAGTGCTGCTGCCACATTCGTTGCAGTCTTTCATACCCTCGTCTCTTAACCCACCTCACCCCACCGCCCGCCCGCCCGCCCGCCCGCCTGCAGGAGGCAGCCCGGGCCTCCGTCACATCGCTTCCTCGGTTGCCGCAGCAGGCCGCGGCCGCCCCGCCATCTGCCAGCTTGGGTTGCCAGACAGTGGCGGACATGCTGCTTACCAAGGCGCTGCTGCAACGCTCCAAAGACGATATAACGGTCAGTGTCCTGGAGCTGGGGCCACATCTGCGGCCCCAGCCCCAGCAGCAGCCGGCAGCTGCGGAGGCAGCAGGGCCACGGACATAGAGGGAAAGCAGTTCGTGCTGCACCAGAGACCGCAGCAGCAGTAGTAGCAGTTAGCAGTAGCAACATCGGGAGGGATGCCGGTGGCAATAGCAACAGCATTGGTAGGGGCACCAATGGCGGTGGTGGTGATGCTTCTGCCATGGATGTATGAGGGGCTGTCCCGCCGACGGGGCGGTGGATTTGGCCGAGGGAAGAGGAAAGGGAGCATTGCTAAGGGGATATGGAGGAAAGGCCACGTCCTGCCTTAAGGCACAATAGGCGGAGCGACACAGGTCGCATTCGGATAACGAGGTAAGGTACAGGCAGGTAGAGGCCGGAAGAAAAGGGAGCATGTTAGCTCTTCAGGGTTAAATGGGCAATTGCGGTTCCGGAAGCACGACGGTGCACATGGCGCATGGTTGGGCAAACCCACGACAGGCGCCAGGCGGGACAGCTGCTAACCTTTTTAAAGTTCGGATTTTAAAGCTCGGGGCGGGGAACCAGGCAAAAGAAGGGATAGGTGGCATCACTGGGTATCACTGGCAGGTTCATTGTTATTGTCGGACGGACGAGGTGGACGGCAGGGAGGGTGGCGTAGCTGGGTTCGTTCAGCTCGGATGCAAGCTGCTTGAAGTGGCATTGCATGGGGATACAGGCGCCTTGGCAGTGGCAGCACAGCAGCGGCCTTTCCTGAGGGGTGTTCGCGGTCAAGGCCATAACAACAAGGGACTGAGAGGGCCACCGGAACCTTCCTTCACTGAGGGGGTTTCGCCGGTCTAGAAAGGGTTGTAGTACGCCTTGGCGGGGCTCGGGCGTGGAGGTTTAGGCAACGCAGGTCGATGGGACCCGGATGAACACGGCGCTCTATGGTTTGCTGTCTTGAGGAATACAAACATGGAATGGGATTCGCCGAGTGGAATTGCGCTGTCTTTCGTTTCAGCGGCAAAACGAGTGTGCAGCGGTAGTCGCAAGGAACGTGCAGAGGGATGGCAGGGTCAGGACTGTAAACAACATCGCGAAGCATGACATGAGCGCACAGTATTAGTAGGTGCGGGGTGGCCCGAGGGAGCGGGGCAGCGGCGGCAGGGCATGCCGTGGAGAACCGATCGACGGAAGAACGGTCGCAACGGTGGAGAAACATGGCCGGAGTGTGACGTGTGTAACTGCTGTAGTTCCTTCCTATAAGGCATTGGACTATGGTGCGATTGCTGATTTGCCCTGCCTGCCAGCTGCCTCGGGACCTGGCCAGATGCGGCATCGTGCAGCAGGGTTTTTTTTCACGTGACGCATAGTCACGAGGCTTGCGCGGTTCTTTGCGGTGCTCTACGTTACGTACATGTCTGAATAGCTGTGTATGAGACTGTGCGGCTTCGGGTGGTAGGAAGAAATTCGGCTTATGACGGGAGTGACGCGCAGTTCCACTGATCTGCTGCCACGCTACCTGGTGTCGGTGGCATCGCCTGTGCAGCTGCTGTGGAACTGTACAATAGCTGTGACACATGCTACGTGTAACAAGTTGGGCATCCATTAAACTGCTGGGTGGGCACCTGTTACAAGATACCCGCACCCGTTGAGAATATGGACGACGAGATTACGGGATAGAAGTTGTGGACAGAAGCCACAACATCACCCGGATGGAACCCTGTGTTCGTACAGCTGCCTTTCCAACGAACCTATACGCTCCCAAGGCACATCCCGACGCCGCTCCTCCATCGTCTGGTCATACAACTAACAGTCTTCGAAGCTGTGAGCGGGTGCTCGTAACGGTGGAACGGCTTAAAAGTGCCTGGTCCGCCTCGGGGAGCAAGGGGAAAATTCAAGATTGTGCGGTGATGGCCTCTTTCAAAGACTAGGCTTCCCAGCAGCAGAACTCATCGCATTTGCTAAAAGCACAATCAATAAGTAGACATTTAATGTATCTTGTAGACATTGATTTAACATAGTCATGACATGCTTGGCTGCTGTTTTAGTCTTTAATTTATGATATTGGGTGGGCCAATAGGCCTACAAAGATTGAGATATGCGCCTTTGTGAGCCGCTCCCGCTGATCTCTTTAGTAAAAGGCGAAAGAGATGTAAGATTCGTGTGCGGCTCAGCGCTGTTAAGTGAAGTTTGCGATGGTGGGACCCCATTACAAGAGCAACCTGCTTTGGCTATCCCGGTATCGATGGTGGGTCTTAAGGCAAAAGTATCTGACGCATCGTTTCGAAGACGCCTTGCCTTCACGTTGCTTCTTCATCATCAGCAGGTAGCCTCATCACATGGTGGCACCATCATAATTAACAGTATATGCTGTCCTGGACTTCGGCGGCAATCGACTGACAATAAATGTTTTCCACGCGACTTTTGCAAAAGGATCTATGCACAAAGGAAAAGCGGAAATGTAAAACTGGTCTCTGATTTAACATGAAGACAATCGTCGCGGCAGTCATCGGCATGTCGGCGTCTATCGGCGCCGCTGCAAAAGCATCCTTAACTGTTTTCCACATCCATCATAGCACAATACTTATGACAACAACTGGATGCAGGCTCATAAACTTCTCCAGTTTTCATAAGATCAGTCTGTGATCATCGACTGCGCTTATCATAACCTGAGCAAGTGAGAAGCCTACAGGGGTGCCTGTGCAGAAGGTAATTAAAGGTCCGAAAAGCCGTATCGAGTAGTATTTGCCATGTTTAACCTGGATAAGGAAACGACTAGCTGTCCATCTCCCCTCACTAACCGTACCAGAGCACCGCTGTCCGGCAGCTGAAACACACGGAGTGCCTGAGACTGCTACCTGGCACCAGCAATATCGCTTCATTGTCATGCCCGCCGCTGCTGTAACGAACCGTGGGTCGTGCTTGCTGGTTCTTCCTAGTAGGAGGCAACCCACTACATGACGGGGCCAGAAAGCCCAACCACCCCTGCCACTTCTCTCCGCCACCGCCGCCGTCCCAGCAGCAGCAACAGCAGCAGCAACAGCTGCGCCGTTACCCTGCATCCCGGATGCCCACACCGTTTCGTTACGAAGGGGCTCTCAACCAATCGCCGAAAAGGCAGCGCCAAACGCGCCTTCTCCTTATCCCTTTAGCCCTTCCCATCGTCACATAAAATCAAGCTGAGCCCAACCAGGGCACCTTCTCATATAAGGTTCAGGGATCATTCTCCCCGACCCTGAACCATTCACATGCAGCCTCAGCCGCTGCCATTGAATTTGATTAGATCCGGTCAAGTCGGTTCGGAAGAGTCAACAATCAACAACGCGCGCTTTCCGCATTCATTTTGTACATGGCGCGGTGTGTCGCGAAACGCCAGGTCAGTTCACTTCAAAACTATTGCAACAGTCCACATACACCGTTTGAGGAATACACTGTTACGCAGTGTACGGGCTAAAAATCTCGTATTTTTCGGCCTGTACTTCGCACTTACGTACATACGTACATGCGTACAGACACACACGCACACAGAACCGCAAATTGATCGTCACCCCGAGTTCACGCACTAAACTGCGTTGTCGACTGCCGACTGCCCTCATTTGCCGTACACACAGCCGAAGCCTGCTGCTACGACACACAGCAGCTCTCTTCCTGGCTTCGTTTCCAACCCGCCCAGTCACACGCACCCGTTCAATCGAACGGCACACTGCACAAACAATAAGGGCCGCAAGCAAATTGGAAAATCGCTTGTGCCGCAAGGGCACTTTACGCCAGATAAATGAATGTGTGTTTGTGTGATACGACACAAGCAGCATAGATATTAGACCAGCTATATCCAGTTTCAAGCCTGTGGAGGCACCGGGGGGGGGGGTGCCAGGGGTTTGCCTCCGCTGGGAGCGGGTACGACATCCAGTGTGGTACGGCGTCTGCGCTCGAATCACGAACGAGGAAGATCACTAGGGGTTCGCCAGCGCGGGATCTTGTCGTATGTAAGCACACACACACACACACACACACACACACACACACACACACACACACACACACACACGCACGCACGATACCCAGCACACATACACATACACATGCACATGCGCACGCACCGCACGCATCGCCACGCCAATTTCAAAAAATGATCGCCCAAGTACGAACCTGCCTCCTCCCTTTCAATCTCCTTCCAAACTCCAACTCACTTACCTCCCCGCTTCGCCTCCTCCCCCGTTCCCTTCGAGCAACCCCCTCCACACGCAGACACATACATACGTACGTTTACGTACATGCACATGCAAGTGTATTTTTAACATTTCACCGTCACTGCTGCAAGTTCGAACTCGTATTATTCCCCGCCCCAGATTTTCCCGACTAGTCATTGCCGTTGGGGCCCCGGCGGCACATTCTTGGCACATCTACCCCCCCCATCTCCCTTTTCTCCCCCGCCCATCCCGAATCTCATTCATCCAACGTGTGTGTTTCGCCGGGTGATTCAGGACGCGCCCGAATGCCCCCTCCCCCCCCCCCTTTCACCTCCCCGTGCCCCACCCTCCCAAAAGTCACGACCTCAGCAACACCCTTCATCCGCCCGCAAGCCGCCGCCACTCAACCCCGCAACCTTCTCCAACTGTCAACTGCCAACTCCAATCCCAACCTCCCGCCAACTGCCAACTGCAGCCGTTCTCATGAGCAAATTTCAAACAACAAAACATCGCGACAATGATGACAACGAAACCAATAAATCCCAACTCAGCCTATCACCGCTTATTAACCTGTCACCGCGCAGCCTGCCCAACACTCAACACTCAACACGGAGGTTCGCAAAAAGTAGCACAGAGCCCAACCCGAATTGCGGCCCCTCTCTTGCAGCCCGGTTAATTTTCCCACGCATTCGCAACTTCGTTTCCCCGGCCCCATAACACCGTCCTCCCGCGTCCCCGCACACCCATACTGCCCAAACCACCAAACACACACGCTTTCACGTGTATGCCCGTACACACAGGTGGCGGTAAACACACCCACCACCAGCACGATACCCCTCCCGGACAGTCTTTAACCCCCCTGAACCCCCTCCTCCTTCCTCCCCTCCTCCTTTCCGCCCCTCCTCCTTCCTCCCCTCCTCCTTTCCGCCCCTCCTCCTTCCTCCCCTCCTCCTTCCCCCCGTCCTCCTTCCCCCATCCTCTTTGTGCGCCACGTCAGCGCACCACCGCCCCCCCTCCTGGCCCCCGCCCTCCTCCCTCTTCCCCTATCTCCCCCAGGGGCCCTATCCGTAGCCCCATGTCCCGGGCCCGCTGCCTGATAGCCACCTCATGCGCCCGCAGCACCTGCTGGGGTCCAGTCACCCGCAGCAGCAGCCGGTCACGGATGAGCAGCTGCTTCAGGCGCTCAATGTCCCGATACACCTTGCACTTCTGAAGGGGGGAGGGGGGAGGGGGGAGGGGGAGATTACCCAGAGCTCGGGCCAAATAAGCAACTGAACATGTCAGGGCAGGGAGCAGGGGGAATGTGGGGCCGCAGGCGGAGGGGAGAAAAAATCATATATACATACATACATACATACATACATACATAGGCTTAGTCCAAAGATAAAGGAGGAAATGAGAAGAGGGGAAGCAATCAAGCAGTCACTGTGGGCCGTTTCTCCCCCTCCCCCGCTACGGGGGTTTCTCCTCCCCAGGCATAATGTATCCCCCCTCCATCCCCTCTCCCCCTCTAACCCCCCTTTACCTCTCCGTCCTTGCGCACAGACCCCTCACTGAACAGCGAGGTAATTACCCAGTAGTCCCGGGCAGCCACCTCCCCCTGTACGGCAGCCATGTAGGCGTCCAGATCAAAGTCAAGACAGAAACACTCCTTCACCTGCGGGGGAGAGGGGTTGGAGAGCGGGTGGAGGTGTGTGTGTGTGTTTTGAGTGAGTGAATAAATGCACGAGTGCTGTTAACTTGGGTGATTCGAAATAATTGGTGGCGGCGCCTCGTCGGTCGGTCGGTCCGTCGGTCGGTCGCCGCACCTGCGTGTTGCTGTTCTTGTTCCCATGTTGTTGCTGTTGTTGCTGTTGTTGCTGTTGTTGCTGTTGTTGCTGTTGTTGCTGTTGTTGCTGTTGTTGTTGATGTTGTTGATGGTGGTGGTCAGGGAGGGCTTAAGGGTTGGTGACTTTCTTTCCGTCCGGCCTTCTCGACTTCTACTTCGCACCTTCCGGCCCCTTTCCCTCCTTCTGCCCCTTCCGGCGCCCCCCCCTCCCAGTGGAGGTCAAGCGCACACGAAACTACATCACGAGGATGCAAGAAATGAAAGGTTGGAGGTAGAGGAGATTGAGTAGAAATGCACAATGGGGCGGCAGGCGCCCACCTTTGTTCGGTTGCCAGCCACTGCGTAGTCTCGGTACTTGGGGGGACAGGAGGTGCGGGCCTTGCCGATCAGGTCGTGCCAGCTGGCGTACGACACATGGAGCAGTGTCGTACGGCCCTCCACGGATTTGAACTCGCCCTTGGGGTTGTGCTCGGGGTGAACCCACCTGGTGCGAGACGGGGGCGAGACGGGGTTCCCGCGGGTTTCAGTTTTCCGTTCCAATTTCCTTTCCTGAGGTCTTTCCTAAGGAAGTTGAGTCGGTTGGCGGCAACAAAAAGGTTCAAGGCTGGTTGTGTCTTGGTGAGTCAGTTGGGTGGTTGGGGATGGGCCTCGGCCCCGTTCCCATCACCTTCCCAATAGCCGGGGCCCCCGTGTGGGCACCTCCACACACACACACCCATACGCCCCAGGTCTTTCTGCCCCAACCCCCCCTGCCCTGCCCCCCACTCCCCCCCTTTACCCCCGCCTCACGTGTCATCCACGGGCCCCAAGAACTCGTGGGGGCCCCACATATACACGTGGGCTCGATCCGTACGTACGATAGACTTGCCGTTGTGGTACACCTGTACGTCGCCACCACGGTAACGGTAACAGGAATCAACCATTCATGTATCTGTATTTGACCCGACCGAAACACACAATCAAGCAAAAATGACCCCAACCCCCTAAATGACCTAAAAACCAGCCTTGCTGCCTTCCACGACAAACATACAGACTCGACGGACGTACATCGCAATAAAAAACACACCACCCGCATCCATGCTAGGTCCCTTTTGCCGTACTGAACCCCGCCCTCCTCTTTCCCCCAACCGCTGCCCCGCATAGCCCCCCTCTAATCTATCCCCCACGCCCCGAAACCACTCCACTCCCAGCCCACTCCCCTTGGCACCGCACCTAATACTTCCCACTGCAACACCGCAAGTCATTACCACCGGGGACAACCCCCAACATCATCATCACCCCCAACGTCACCACCAGCCGGCTCCTGCTGCTCGCCTCCCCCTCCCGCCCCCCTCCTCCCCCTCCACCTGGTAATATGCGGGATAGGTCCCCAACCGGAACCGCCACTGAAGGTCGCCCGCCTTGGAGGGCAACGTGGCGTCATGGGTCCTAATATGCCGTACAAGCAGTACGGCAGCGATACGAAGAAAGACGGCAATGTCAGGAGGCACCCACTAAACGCCCCGATGGGCGGGGAAGAAAGGACGTCAGCAAACGCGCCTGGAAGGAAACATTTTCTGGGCTGTGTCTGTATGTGTGTCTGTATGTGTGTCTGTATGTGGTAAGGAAGGGATCATGTGCTAAAAGACGTAACAAAGTCCACTGCCGACTCAGCAGTTGCTGCTGGTGGTGGTGGCGGTGGCGGCGGTGTGTATGTATGTTTGTGTTTGGGTGTGTGTGTCTGACGTGGTGGACTTACTTGAACAGTGTCACCTCCTCGTACTTATTGTGTACTTGGAAGGATTCGATCAGTGCCTCGTGGTTGTGCATTTTGACTGCAGCTGCCCACATGGGGACGGTGGCCAGGTCGGCAGCCAGGCTGACGGCTGCATTAAGGGTGGGAAAGAGGGGTAAATGGGGCGGGGGGAGAATGGGGTGGGTTGCGGGTTGCGGGTTGCGGGGCTGGGGGGAAAGCACTTAGACAACGGGTTTTAGGGTAGAAGGGAGTTTTCAGGAGGCGGGTGGGAGAGAGGAGTGTTAGGGAATCCTGTGAGAAGGCAGCCGGGAAAGGGATACATGCAGTACATGCAGTACACGCGGTACAACCCAACATTACCCCCCATCCCAATTTCCCCCCATCGCTTTGGACTCCAGTAGAATTCCCGGAGCCGTTTAAGGACGTCCGTTCAGCAGTCCTGGCAGTTGGAACGTTGATTCTTGCGCCACACAACTCCCCGCCCTCTTCAACCCCCTCTCACTACCCCCATCCCGCCATAGCACTCACCATCACACTCACTATCACACTCACCCTCATCCTTGCACCCACCATCACACACTCACCCGGCATCAGCAGCTCATCGGCATCAATGTGCAGCAGCCACTGCACCCCCTCCCGCTTCGCCCGCCCAATTGCGATATCTCCGCAGTAGCCCTGCTTGGCCATCAGCCGCCAGTTCCCCGGCTTCTGAGCCCACTCGTTCACCTCCGCGTGCTGCCGCCACTTGCGGACCTCCTCCTCCGGGGCGAAGGGAGGGGAGATGAGGATGATGGACACGGATGATATGTTTCGGAGCCACTGCAGGGTTTGCTGGTCGCGACCCTGATAGCCGATCTGGGGGGTCCCCGGGGTGAGGGCCCGGGGGAGGAGAGGGGGGAGGGAAAAGAAGGAAGGGGGATACGGGAAGTGGCGGAGAACGGGGTGGGGAGGAGGAGGAGGTAAACGAAGAAATGGAAAAACGAGCTACATGTTTGAATCGGAAATGTGGGTCAGACAAACAAGGGGCTTAAGGAATTTAAAAAAGAGGAGGGGAAGGAGGCGAGGGTTGACTCTGAAATTGGAGCCGTCCGCATAATGCCGCGTTCGGGAGTCCAACCCTCCCCCGGTCCGTGTCTATATGATAACCCTTGGGACCCCCCTTCCATTCCCTTCCCTCCCAACCCCCCTCCCTCTCCCCCCCCATCTCCCCCGAGACCCCCCATCAAAATTTACGCATAAAAATCTGCCTTAGACAAATATGTATGTATGTATGCATGCTGCGTTATATAAATGCATATGCTTGCATATATTCACTTACATAGAATTTGCATACCCCCAGATGCGTGCTCCACTGCAGCCAGGGCAGCAGGGAGCGACGTAGCCCCCACATGTTGCCGTTCCACACGCCGAACGCCGCGACGTACGGACGGGAGGGGGAGCCCAGGCGGCCGGAGGAGTTGGAGCAAACCTGCGAGAGTGGAGTGCATGCATGCGTATGAGTGTATGTATGTATGTATGTATGTATGTATGTATGTATGTATGTATGTATGTATGTGTTTCGGGGGGAGAGGAGAGTTGGAACCTGGTCATGCACAATACGCAAAAAAGTGGACAGAGATGGCGGTTGAGAGGGCAACGGAAGTGGAGCACGTTGGCGATGAGAGTGCGACGCATGAAGAAGCGTACGGTGTCATGTGAATTGTGCCGTACCTCTTCCGTAAGTTGGTTTAGGAAGGCAATCCTCGCAGGTACCGTCTCCAGCTCCTAATTAGGACACATGGGGTGGGGTGGGGTGAAGTATAGTGGCCGATCATCGAGAGAGGGGACGAGAGAGGGAAGGGGGGAAGAGGCGAACCACGAACGCGTGAAGCTGCTGCCAAGGGAAGAGTGTACAAGAAGCAGAACTGACCAGTAGGCGGTTTTGAAGGAGCCGACCTCGGGGGAGGGGGGGCGGTTTGTGTGAAACTGGAAGTCGACTCGTGCAGTAGTACGGCAGTTCGATCCCTCCGGAAGTTCGTGAACGCGACACGACGCAATTATCCTCAGCCCCCGCCATCTCTCTCTCTCTGTGGTGTACGGCATACTGTACTGCAAAGTGCGGCGGCTGGAGAGCACTCCTTCCTGTTTTCCTTCCCCCTCCTCTCCCCAAGCTCCCACCAGTCTCGAACGAACCTAACGGACACACTAGGTGTCACTGGGGGCTCCCAACCACCTCCCCAACTACCTTTCTAACTACCTGACCACCCACCTTCATGGTATCCCACGGCGCCAACCCCAATTGTACGGATGTGGGCAGTGACTGGTTCCGGAGCGCATCATGGCAGTTGACATCGGGCTGTTGCTGTTGGGACTGCAGGTGTTGGTAGAGGAGTTGTAGCAGTCGCAGTAGCAGCAGCAGTCGCAGTAGCAGTGCCAATTGCGGCCCCGGAGGTGGTGGTGGCATTAGCGCGATGGTTGTGGTGGTGGAAGCGGTAGCGGTTGGAGGTGTCGGAGGAGGCGGTGTCGGCGGTGGTGGCGATGTTAGTGGCGGCGGATGTCCGTGGTGGCGGCGACCGGCGGGTCGCCGTGGGGGCGGGCAGGGCGAAGGAGGGGCCCCCGAGGAAAGGTGAGGAAAGAATGAACAAATGAGCAAATGATCAGTTGGCAATTTCCCTATATCTTCCATCATTTCAGATTTAGAACAAAACTTGTCTTAGTTGTTTTGGTCTATCTGTCTGTCTATCTGTCTGTCTATCTGTCTATCTGTCTGTCTATCTGTCTATCTGTCTGTGTATGTGTGTGTGCTGAGTCGCGTTTAAGGAATGTCCCCATCCCCACCCCCCACCCTTCCGCCCACCTGACTACTCCAAGTTGCCACCCTCTCCCAACCCCCGATGGGCGCAAGCCTCTCCGAATGCCCACACATACCCGCCCCCAGACATACATACATATGTACACAGCAACAACATCCCCCGGGGGGCCTTTTCACTGTTGACCTTCTGCTTCTTCGCCTCATGTGATGGTAATCCCCCCGCTCCACCATTCCCCCTCCCCGCCACACCTGGAGATATTCTTCCAGCTCTGAATATACCCCGATTTCAATCTGGGTCAGGGAAGGGGGAGGAGGGGAGGAGGGGAGGTGGTGGGGTGGGAGGCCAGTTTCGGGGTTGGTAGCGGTGGTTGTGGTGGCTATGTACTGATAGGCTATGTACTGATAAGGAAAGACAAACGCGAACCGGACGTTACCCGAATGCGAATGCTTCCCCTTCCCTCAGGCATGTCTCTGTGCGTGCGCTTGCCTCTGTCTGTCTGTCTGTCGTTGTGATGGGGAGGGGGGGAAAGGAGGAAGGGCAGCAGCAGCAGCAGCAGCCGTGGCGGCGACAACCTGATTGCTGCTGGTAAACGGTGACGGTAAGCGGTGCATGTGTGGATGCTACAGTTTGTTGGTCTTGTTGCATTGTACGATAATTAAACGTGTTGATGATATGTACTGCATTGTGTGTCTAACTGGTGCCAAGGCCAGCTAAACCCTGGCCTTATTTATGAGCATATGAAAGGGAGTAACATAGAAATCGAAGGCTGGAACGCTGCATTGGAGAGACATGTCTCTGACGGGGGTCACCAGGAGTCACGCCAATGTGTTCGGGAAGGACTTGGACCAGCATTGCACGGCAACGTGCGGGTGCTAAGTCAACACGAGACAAGGCAAAGCCGTACCTGCCGACTCAGACGTCTCATCCAGTATCCAGTGCGCTCCTTCCACGAGCCTTCGTAGGGCGCATGCTGCGCCTCGGGAATGCTCGGTCTGCCAGGGTTCGGCGTCCAAGCCGGAATGGTGTCAAATTCTGTCCTGCTGATTGCGGACGCATCTAAGAGGTCCCGGCCTCGTATCGGGTGCGGCCAGGCCTTTAGCAAGAGGGTCATAAGTGCGAGCGATATTATCATTTCATGCCTTCCCAGATATTTGGGCTCAACAAGGAAGGAAGAAATGAGGTATACACTATGTGGCTGTAACATCTAACCTGTGCGATTTGGCATTTCCAAAACGGGCAAGTAGTTGTACGGGTCTCAGTCCGACCTAATCAACCTTCTCTGGCAGCTTCGTTGAACTGCATAGCCAAGCGTTTTCCTTTTTGAATTAAGTACCCTTCGACTGTTAAGGGTAAACCTGACGTCGCTATAATGCATTCAAAGTTTACGTGACTTACACCTCGGTATCAAAGGCATGGCCGGGATGCTGGGCAGCAGCACCGGCCATGTGCCATCCTTCATAGTTGCCTTGCTCCTGGCAGGCCTGCCGCAGCACTTGGTTAGTACCCTTCCGATTCATAGTTGTACACGGACCAACGCTATCGTCCTTCGTCTGTACAGGCCGGATTGTCACATCTTGCGTCTTCGGCATTTCGCTTGCTGCAGGCATACGACTGCAGTGCGCATCCTTGGATTGACGACACAGTGAAGCTTTGGTTTCGAGCCTCCTACGCAGCTGCACGGGAGTCAAGCCTTTCAATTGAGGAGAGCCTGCAGGCGATATCAGACATCAAATGGTGCGTTCTCACTCACCTCTTGCAAAAGGCTTCGCCTTTCCGATCTGCCCGTGCGTGCGTGGCGGAGGCGTGGGTCAAAACGTACCCCCAGCCCTTCATCACACATGAAAAATGCACCATTCCCTTGCGCGAAGGGCTGCCTACACGGGCAAGTCCATGGCCATCCTGACCTACGACGAGGCCGCAGGAGCTTACCGCGTCACCTTCAAAGAGCTCCACCGCCACAACGAGCCCCACAAGCCGCTGGGCATGCAGCGCATCATTGAGCGAGCGGTCATGCAGCACAACGCGGACCTCGTGCGGGCGCTGGGTAAGAGAGAGCTCAAGTTCATATTCGGGACTGAGGTGCGCGGGCTGGGGTGGGGTGGGGTCTCGTGTGTGTGTATGTATGTATGTGTGGGACAGGGGGGCATATCTTCACCCGTGGCCGCTACCCGGCGAAACCCTGCCTTCCCCGGTATTTTGGGGCACCCTCATCTAGTCACCCTAGTCAACTTCTCAGTGGATCGCTCAGGTTCCGCACCCACCACCGGCGTCCAACGGAATCTGCCGGATCGACGGCGGCCCAACTCCATTCCTGGTCGGCTCGCGAGTCAACTTTATCCCAGGTCACTACCGTCCATCGACTAGGGGGCACTTTACCTTCCACCACCAGAAGGATTTTCGACCCTGACAGGTCTCGATCCCGGGATCTCCCGGGGGCAATGGTCCGTGCCTTACCAGTAGTGCCTAACCTGAGTATGTATGTATGTATGTATGTATGTATGTATGTATGTATGTATGTATGTATGTATGTATGTATGTATGTATGTATGTATGTATGTGTGTATTGAGGTGGGAAGGTCGACCCTGGGGTTCAGAGAGGTGCGGAGGGCACCGGGTCTTGTGCGATGGCACTTCAACCTGGCCTCTGACCCAAATGAGATCAGATCACACCCGGGGAAGGCAGTGCAAGTGGGGAGTAAGGCGTGTTGGGTTGGGGTGCTCCGCCGGAAAGGGCTCGTCAGGCGGGTTCTCCCTCTCCCCTCCCGACACCCACATCCCCGTATTAACCACACCAAGCGGTCTACCAAGCCTGTTTCCAACAACAGACCTATCTACCTACACCGCAACCTCCCACCCCATCATTACCGCCAGCTTACCGCATCTCGGGGGCGCTCGGATCTCCACACAACCACGTCCGATCGCGCATGCATACACGCACACACCGCCCCTCTCCCCCCACAAGGGAGGACAGTGCTTCGGCGGTAGCGGTTCCCGTTGGCGTTTATACGGTTAGGTGCCCCTGGCCAGTGTCAGGCCCGGATCGACATGTAACAGGCACATCGCACACACGTACATCCCCCGGAGTGCCCTCCCCTCTCCCCGCCCCCCGATCCAGGACTGGCCCATCGTGGACTCCTGGAAGAAGTTGCGGTTGCCCTCCTTCCAGATGTGCCACAGCCCGGACACAGCGGACGTACCCGTACCGGGTGGGTGCGTATGTATGTGTATTGTGTGTGTATTGTGTATGTATGTATGTATGTATGTGTATGGCGTGGTGTGTATGAGGGGCGGCGTGAGCTCTTTAGTTGGTTGAGTAGAGGTTTATAAACTGAGCCACGAGAAATGACTGCCTAGTGGTGTAGCGTGTTGAAGTGAGCCCAGGATGGGGTTAGGTAGAGCAGGGTGACAGGAGATAAGGGCTGGATAGGGTAAAGGGGGAAGAGGGTGCGTGTTCTCTGATGGCGCACCTTCGTACGACTACCTGGTGGTGGTGGTGATGGTGGTGGCGGTGGTGGACTTGAAGGGATGACAAGCAAGCGTGCGGCGAGTAGAGGTGAATAGAAGACAGTCATCGGAAGGCAGTGATAAATCTGTGTACGCGTATATAATGTGTGTGAAAGAAACGGTTGAACCGCGGGAAGAATGGTGGGCGAGAGAGAGTCCATGGCTTCCTTCCCCCTGCCCACTCCACTCTTCTCCCAACTCACCCAGCCCCATCTGCACCTTGATGTGTTGCTATGTGCCTCATCACCATCGCCATCGCCATCGCCATCGCGATGTGGTTTCCCCCCCCACCTCGTTCCGCAGACTTTACTTGGGAGCAGTACAGTCAGGCCCAGTACACCAACAACAGCTGGTGGGAGGTGCGGCGGCTGCTGCTGCTCAAGTCGGCCATGTTGCCCTGGAGGCTGCGGGAGCGGGACCTGTTCATGCGGGGGGATGCCGGGGTGGGCTACCGCAAGGTACTCATGCCCCTCATGCATGAGGTGCAGGTAGGGCGGGGAGGAGGTTAAGGACCTGTGCGTGGGGGCCGGGGGGCGGGGGAGAGGTGCTTGGGGTGGGGGCCGGGTCGGGTTTAGGCCTCTCGACGCCTGCAGCAGCCCGCAGCTCATCCGAACATAGTTGCGCACACATACACAGATGTGGTGCATATCTGCATCACGGCAACCGCACTTACTGCCCCATATGCAGCATTAACAACATGACCATCATTGTTATTGTCGGGGTGGGGCAGGTGTGCCGTGTGGGCCTTGTTGTCCACAGGCTCGTGAACTACCCTCCCCCCTCTTTCCTTGCATATATATGATTTCCTTTTGATGCCCTTGCATATGCACGCGTCTTGAGAAGAGGCTCTCCCGGCCTCCCCTCGGCGACGGACCCCACAAGGTACATGCCACATACATACACATATACATACATACGTGCGTATATGCAGGTGAACCGGTCGGACATTGCGCTATTTGGAATAAAGGTCAACTTCCGGAGCACGGGTTTCTATGTCTCAGATTTGAAGTGAGCTGAGGGGTGGGGGTGAGGAGGATATGGCGTATTACTCCCGACGTGTCCAGCAGTTTGAGGGGGGAAAAGCGAGAGATGCCACCTCCCTCCCTCTCTCTCTCTTTGGCGCGGGTCGCAATACCTGGACACGGACCCACACGTCGGCAGTTAGCCTCTTTTTTTCGCTAATGCTCCAGCCCCACCCCCCGTCACCCCCCTCCAGGCACTTTTCCTGGTTGGACAACTGGTGTCAGCACCGCTACCTGGTGCACACCTCGGGGCTCACGTACAGCGCCAGTCTCAAGTACAAGCTGGCTTGTGGGGCGGTGGTCGTCAACTTCAAGGGAGAGTGAGTGGTAGCGGTGGTGCTGACACACAAGCAGGCGGAAAATCCCATTCCCCCCAGCCTCACTAACTCGCCCACCCACCGCTAGCAGTCTACAGTACTTGGGACGTGTCGACAGCGAATAGCTGACTCTTTGCTTCTTGCATCACATGATTCGTCCCCCCCCCTTCCCCCTGCCACCTTTATTCCAATCCCGTGGATTTACAGTTTTCAAGAGTTCTACTACCCCGCCCTGCAGCACGGGGTCCATCTGCTCTCCTTTCCGGAAGCCGACCGGGGGGTGCTGCTCAACGATGTGGCCCCCAAGATCAAGACAGCGCTGGCCGATCTTGAAGCCAACCACCAAGACACGCCCCCACCCATCGCTATGGCGGCACGTGACTTTGCGCTCACGCAGCTGACGGACGGTGCGCTGAGCTGCTACTGGTATAAGGCCCTTTTGGCTTATGCGGGTTTGTACTACACGGCCACACCAGCGGATGTCCCGACGGAGGTGCTGTTGGACGGAGGTGGGGGGTCTGTGGGTGGTGGTGGTGGTGGTGGCGGGAGGAAGGCGCTGAGGGTGGCGAGCGGAGGGGGAAGATGACGGGGGGGTGAAGGGAGGGTGGTGGAGAGCTCTGGGGGAGAAGGGGGAGGCGGGGGGGGGCGGGGACTGGGAGATTGCAATTTCTTTCGAGGTGTTGGACGTGTGTCGTTTGGGGAGAGGGCCGAATCGTATAGGATAGGATCTATCTTCATCTGTCACGACGAGCTGAAGAAGAGAAGCATGTGTTTATTCATGTCGATAATTGTGTAGGTGTGTAGCTGAGCTGGGGTTTGGTTGTGCGGGATGCATGGGGGGTATAGCTTCGCCGGAATCTATATATAGGAAAACGAAAAGCAAAGAAGAGAGAATGAATAGAAGCCGACACGTGTGGTTGCTTGCACTGTGTGGTGTACGGGCTACACGGGGGGTGCCGGGACTTTGTGCAAAATTGTGCACACGTGTATATGGATGTATATGTCTTTGCCTGTTGTTCGTTCGTGACGGCAACGTGGACATTTACTGTAGTGTGTAGCGGCCGTACATTTATACATGGTCGAAATATATGACATTGCAAGCGCGGGGTCCTACATGTGTGTTGTTTGTATGTGTTGCTTGGTGGAGTCAATGCTGAGATGATGGTGTTAGCGCGACTCATACATGTGTGTATGTGTGTGTGTGCCTGTACGTATTCAGATATGTTGTGTGTGTTAGTGAAGGCCGGCAGGGCGATAGACAAGAGGGGTTTGTGGACAAGAGGACATGTGAAGCATTAGCAGTTCAAAGGCATATGGTAGGATGAAGATCGGGAAAAGCTCTCTGGTAGGTAGCACGTGCAACAAGACAGCAGGCAGTTGGTTGCGAACATATTCGTATGTATATCTGCTCGTATATATGTTTGTATGTCCTGTGCGTGGCATACAAGACTGACTTGCTGTTCCCTTTATAATGTACGGAAATTGTTGTTGTTGTTGTTGTTACATGGTCGTGGGTGCGTTCCCCGTACCTGCAAACCACCCTAGTACGAGCCGAGGGCTCAAGGGCTGCCAAATCGCCTATAAGCACCATCCTACCTCGCACTTCCAACGAGACAAGTGATGACGTATACTAACGACCAAAGGGAACGATAGAGTTGCGGTGAGACCATATACGTTCCAGCATCCTTGCCAGGCGTTCAGGTTCCCACTTCATAGCGTCCTTCATATATTCGAAGCGTGGAAAGCCCATATCAGATCTGATTTCGTCGTAAACCGGACAGTCCAGCAAAATGTGTTTCTCATCCTCGATGTGGCTATCAGTGCCGCAGCAAGGGCATACTCGCTCCTCCCTAGCTATATAACGCCGTCCCTTACGCGCTCTGTTAGCCGCCAGTGCCCAACAGCAAAACCTAAACTGCATAAGCTTGCGATTCGCCGAACGTGGGATAGACATTGTGATGTGCGGGAGCACCTCCTTCCTGCCCGCTTGCTCGGCCGCCAGCCCCATCCAATGCTTATACTTCGCCATGTGGATTCCTGGTTGCTTGCCGTCTGACGGATACACGTCAGGCTGGACATCTAAACGCGTATGCTTCCAACCACTCATTAATCGGTCCTTGAACTCCAAAATCACACCTTCTGGCATTGGCTTGTTCATCAGCCACTCCACTCGTTCGTCTACCTCGTGTAGCTCTTGCGGGGCCTCTTTCCATACATCGTGCCCCAAAAAACATAGAAAACGGAGGAGTAGTGTCCCCCATCCGGGCCCTTCGGGGTTGGAGAGGGATTCTGCGGCCTCCTGTCGCAAAATTTGGTATGCCACAGACCCACGCTGTAAACGGACATGGTTCCAAAACCTCACAACCTGCTTGAGAACGTGGTAGTGTAGGGGTAGCTGCGATAGCTCTGCGAACAAGAGGCGGTGTGTTGGTCTGGCAGCTCCTACAATTTGCCGCATGAAAGATATCTGAAGCTGCACTGCCCTGTCCTTTAGGCATGCCTCGAAGGGTCCCTCTGCAAGGTTATTCGCATCACTCCGCTTCCTGAGCCTGTCCGAGACCTCAGCTAGCATAAACGGCCCCCACGCTTGACAACCATACAACAGTATTGCTCGTACCTGCGTATCGAAACACCTCATCCTCACATCTGGGGCGAACAACTTTAGCTTATCTAATTTTGCACTCAACACGAACATAGCTGCTCTAGCTGTGTCATGCAACTGCTGACGGCAGGCCCAGAACTGCCGTTCCGGCCCACACACTAACCCCAGATATCGTGCACTATCCTTAGCCGGTATGGCCTCTCCAGCCAGCCTGAGCTCATCACACGATGCTTGGACAGAAATTGTATTATGTGTGACAGGGGTAGTGGCAGGCCGATGCGCGTGCGGCGGGTGTCATCTGTCATGATGTGAATGTCGTGTAATATAAATCTATGTCTGTGCAGCTGGTATTGACCCAGATGTGACGGGGTGCCGCGTGTTGTGGAGGCTTTGCCTTTCTAAAAAAGGAAGATAGGCGCGATGCCATGCACTGCCGTAATGGATTCTAGCCGCTGTCTGCATGCACACAAACGCCAAACGAGGTACAAAGACGGCACCCCAGGTAAATAGGAGCCACCCACGCCAGCAAGTATAGCAAACAAGCTTATCATCCTTCCTTGGATGGTATCATACGTCGTCGTACCGGCAGAGGTACGACGTGCACGATACCAACCTGCCTGCCCCCGTGGAGGGCCCCGCAATGGGGGTGATGGTTTTCGTGAATGAGATTTGGATGCGGTGACAGCTTTAATGCAATTTAATTTATTGCAAGGGCTTGTAAGGCCCACATGGGCCGGGAAGAGCTCTAAAAGCTGTGGGTGGAGGGTGTCGAACCCTCGACATTAGGATAGCCCAAGTCACAGCATGAGAACAGCTATGAGACCTACGCGCTAACCACTGCGCCACACCCACACGCATATGTCAGGGCAAGGAATAAGCACGAATAACTACCCCCATACAGAACATACGGGATACACAAACGCATACGCGTATGTGCGCACATTTGCACCCCCAACGGTTGGGCCAAATACGTACAACGCATCTGAATAATTACGCGAATGTGGAACGGATTTTGAGCAAGTACAGCAAGCGGTGATCCTAACAATGCAGCGGTGGCAAAGGAGGCTATAGGAAGGCTGACGACCGGAGGACCTCGGGTCCAGAAGCTTCTGGGTGTTCAGACAACGAAAGGCCGTCGCCTCGCCTTTCCTTCCCCCCCAAAGCAACACACACATACATACACACACACAAACACACACACCTACATGCGCACACACACAAACACATTGTTCATGGAGCGACGCTGCACGACTTTACCCAAAGCCAGTTGATTTCCAGAAGGCGAGGTCCGGAAATGCATAGCCCGATCGGATATTAAGCCCCATTTGCTAGGGGTATGATGGTCTATCTCAGTTGTGGGTGGCAAATACGGGGTCCCGTGTCCAGCTAACTCTTCCTAAGTGGCCCTAGTATTACCCTGGCCTCCCCGACGGCTATCCGTGCCGCGGTTTCCCCTTTAGGAGTGCGGGGCAGGGAAGCGCCACTGGTTCCTCGGCGCTGTCCAGTCTGTGGTAAGTGGGATGTGTTTTGAGTTATAGGGGCAGGGCAGCAGTGATTTTTTTGCGGAATACATTCCTAGTTCGGAATAAATAAATGTCCGTGGTCCTGAAAACTAGGAAAAGATTGTGTTCCGACCGCACAAGTTCATTCCTCCAGCCAAAAATGAGCTGTCCCCGGAAATGCCGCTAGAATCTTGCAGGAGGCGTACATGTTAACCATATCAGAGCACTTCAATGCTATGGATACTGTTAGGAAGGTCACACCCGCGAGTCAACGAGGAATAGGACTGTTTCTGGCCGGACCATTGGTCCGGATGAAACGCTACAAAATAGTCGGATCCGACGCTCCCAAAGCGTGACAGGCCACCAAAGCAGAAATCTAACCTCACTGAAGCCACTTGCGACGGTGATGAAGACGGGTAGAGATCGTAGGCAATGTGAACGCAACGGTGCAGCCAGCCGACGACAACGACGCCGCTCCGGTTGTCAACAGCGAGCGGGCAAAACGTCAACATTCGTCATATGGAGACAATCGCGATGGGCCAGGAAACACGGGCGTCGAGGGTGATGGCAGCAGCGACCCCGGCGCTGCAGCTAAGACTCCTAACCCCACACTCCCCACATTCGATCAGTGCTCGAGTAGGGGTTAACTGATCTGTGTTTGCTTGGGCTCTGCAAGCCCTTGGAAACAGCAGTCGCCCCTGCAATCGGGCTTCCTGTCAAAGAGTCTAAGTGCCCGCCGCTTCCTGGCCCGGACCCGGTAAGAGACACACCCCTCCGGAGAGATTGCGGTATGTGCCCTGAGGGCAGCACCATCGGAGTGCTAGTCGAATCTACACTGTCACGTCATTCATTCATTAGTTTTGTGGCGCTGGGCATTTGGCTGTCCTGCACCGTGGCCCCATGAGGGAGTTGGCACCATTCGGCCTCTGTCTTCAAGCTGGCCATGTCAGCAACCTGTGCACCTGGGCATGATGGTGATCAGAAATGACTATGTCGAAGGTGGCCCTGGTTGTATGCCACGTCGGACTGTTAAGACCAGCAAAGCGCCGGACCCCCGTTGGGTCCTGTTACTGCTGTTACCATCCACTGGTGTATATATGAGTGTCGGTCACTTTCCAACACGGACCTCCTCGTGGTGGGGGAGAGATGATGTTAAGTTCATACAGAAGCGATCTGTGTGGCAACGTCGCCACTTGCTTCCGGAAAAGTCCCCCCCGCTTCCGTAAGCCCCCCGACAAGCGGCTTTCACGAAGGGTTGCCGTGCCTGCTTGCGAAAGCTCCAGGTCCACCAGCAGGGAAGCTGGGTTCCGATATACGCAGCAGCTGCCTGATCCTGCGTTTTACAAGGCAACTAGTGGCCCTCCGAGCGTACGAAAATGCGTTTTTATGTCGTCGGGCGGCCCTTCGGGCCTCATAGCACCCTTCGTATACGGCGTATGATCATATTTCTGCAAGCCGGCCGGCTTCGGGGACTCTGTCTCTGTTTTCTGGAGGGTTTCGGTACGACCCGAAACTCCCGAAGCGTTTGCCGATGTATGGTTCAAGCGACTGCCCTACCTCATATTAGCCCCTAAGCACGACACCTTGGAAGTCTGTATCGTTTTGAAATGTGATGTAATGATGATCTCCGCTAACCAAAGGCTCTGTCCCATGTTGTCGGTCACATTGTACGGCGATGAGATATGCTTGCAATAAATAATACTGGGCGCACATAATGTCCTTACGAGTTCTTTAATACTTGAAGAATCTGTTCACATCACGCTTATCAGGAATGGCTTTCGCTCTTGCTACCTCGCGCAAGGCTCTGTCTGTCGCTTGCAAGGCGACCGGCAAGAAGGCCGCTGCCAAGGTACGTATTATGTCGGTAGAAACTAATGGAGATGAGTATTAGACGCATGTTTTTCGCTCTTGTATCCGATTGACCCGAAACCCTTTCTTCTCCTTGCAACATCTCTATAGCCGGCTGCTCCCAAGAGTGCTGGCATTGAGTGGTACGGCCCCAACCGTGCTAAGTGGCTCGGTAGGTTTAATTTCCACAGTGCACAGTCCTCCCGCAGCGTTAGTCTATTGTGTTCATTGTCTCTCTTCTTGCACACCTCGCGCATTGTATGTCACGGGGAAACGCATAAATTTCTTCTTTTGGCCCATTTATGTTGCTCAAAATGGTTGTGTAAAGTAGGTGGAGGGTCACTGTAACCGGGTTCATCACCGTCAGTGGGCATGGCGATGCATCCACTCTTACTACCGAGGGATTTCAATTGATCCTGAAACCTCTAGAGTCAGTATGGCACCCCTGATATGTATCCTCAGTATGTATCCAATTACTAAGGGTATCCGTCTTTCCCTTCGCCGCGTGGGACAGGCCCCTACAGCGAGAATGCCACCCCTGCCTACCTGACTGGCGAGTTCCCCGGCGACTACGGCTGGGACACTGCCGGCCTGTCTGCTGACCCGGAGACGTTCAAGCGCTACCGCGAGCTGGAGCTGATCCATGCGCGCTGGGCCATGCTTGGCGCTCTGGGCTGCGTGACCCCCGAGCTGCTGTCCAAGAACGGCGTGCAGTTCGGTGAGGCTGTGTGGTTCAAGGCTGGCGCTCAGATCTTCCAGGAGGGCGGCCTGGACTACCTAGGCAACCCGTCGCTGGTGCACGCTCAGAACATCGTCGCGACGCTGGCGTGCCAGGTGGGCGGGAGGGACGTGGCTGCGTGCTTAAGATTGTGTCCGGTCGCCTTACTTACTAGCTGGGAACGAGGTAAGCCTGCCAGCTCGTGGCTGCTGCTACAAGGCTCCTTCCTTACAGCGCATCTGTTTATAAACAAGGCCCCGGAATCCTATCCTGGGTTTTCACTATCTGGCCATTGTGGGATCCTATTCAGGAAACTGCGCGTTTCGTTTCCTTCCCAACTTGGCCACCTGGTGTTTTGTAACCTCAAGCAAGCAAGCGGCCATATTGAGTGGCCTCATCGTTAATCATCCGTTTTTGACTTCTGCATGGTCTTCACCTCCGCACTCCATCCCCGTTATCCAACGTCATGTATCAAAAATACACGCAGGTGATCCTGATGGGCCTGGTGGAGGGCTACCGTGTGAACGGCGGCCCGGCTGGCGAGGGCCTGGACCCGCTGTACCCCGGCGAGTCGTTCGACCCCCTGGGCCTGGCTGACGACCCGGACACCTTCGCCGAGCTCAAGGTCAAGGAGATCAAGAACGGCCGCCTGGCCATGTTCTCCATGTTCGGCTTCTTCGTGCAGGCCATTGTGACCGGCAAGGGGCCCATTGAGAACCTGAACGACCATCTGGCCAACCCGGCCGTCAACAACGCCTTCGCCTTCGCCACCAAGTTCACGCCCAGTGCGTAGAAGTGTACTTTCTGGCCGTTTGTGCGCCGCCGCCGCCGCTGCGGCTGTCGTTGCTCCAGGCCTGGCTCTAGAACACTACAGTAGTCGAAATACAGCGTGAGCGGTGATGAAACCAGCTTTTGTACAACTATGCCATACAACTATGCCATGCAGCCAGCCAGCCTGACAATACGAGGATCGTTAATGTCTGCGCATTCGCAAAAGAACTGAGGGATTCACGCATGCGTGTTCGTGTTGTGTGTGTGTGTGTGTTTCATGTATATCTATGAAGTGTATCACCTGTGGATAATAATTTTTTGGCGTGGATTAAAGTAGTGATTAGTAAGGGCAGATGGATCCGCTGCATTTGACATTCTCCATGCGTTGCTGAGGGTCCATTTTGAGGCTTAGTGAGCTGCTCGTCGGGTAATCCGCGGTCTGGTGTATACGAGTGGAAAACCATCGGTTGCTTGTGGTGCAGGTGTCCTGCGGTTCTTACTGCGGAGTGATTGCTTCGTTGGCTGTGCGGAACACGCACGCCCTTGTAACATATATTTTGAGTCCACCTCTGCATGCGCTTACATCGTACTCGTTAATACATTCATTGATTTACCTCGGCTGTGTTTCCACACCTTTACGGCTGTGTACGGCGTCTGACACCGGGATGTTGGCACTGGGGATAGATAGAAGACCATGCAAGGGAATATGGAGGCTCTTGAGGTTATTTGGATTCGTCAAGCCTCGCTTCACAGCCGCAGCCGCCTGCAGCATCAAGCTGGTGCAGTCACCATAATCTAACGTAATGGTAAATTATGCCTGGTGCTCGAGTTCCTGGCAGCTTACGCTCCGCCACCTTCACTCAACTCTCGGAAGATGCAGTTTTACTGGTAGCTGGCAGCCGTGCATGGTGCCGAGCTTAGAGCTATTGGGCGTTTTTGCCGCACCTATGCTCGTTTCCCTGCGTCACGGCGTCAGGCTTTCCCTGGAAGACTTCGTCACGTGCCACGTAGGTACATGCCAATCCGTCCGAGCAGTGGTACTCGCCAGAACACAGCAGCCTCAGCGGTGCTGGCGCCATAGCGTTCAGGTTTATCTAGCTCCGCGATGACATTATTGGCGTGAGCGAATTGAGCAGGTGAGGGCGATTTCCATATTGAGGGGTGTTGGCGTAAGAGCCGCAAGGAGGTGAGGATGGAGGAAAACTAAGAGAAACTGTATTTCTTGAGGTTTATTGTTTTACCAGCGCCTTGGAATGAGGGATAACAAGCTACTCGACCTGCGGATAGATTTGTTTGTTTGCGTGTTGCGCTAATTCGATGACCTAGGTCCCAATGGCCATGTACGATCTCGTATAGGTCAGTCACGGCCGGCAGTGAATTGGATATTGCACCTAGGAAATGAAGATATGTTCAGACATTACCCATATTACTTTTTAAAAACTTGATGGGCGCCGAGGTCGCGCGTTGCGCAGATCCTCAGCCTACCAAAAATTTAGCCCTGCCGGACACCCGAAGGGCCGACTACGAAAGGCCCTCGCAAAGTGCAAGGCGAAGACCGATCATACAACCGAGGCCAAATTGACCACCTCGAGAAGCGGGCCAGGTAAGTATGACATTCAACGTGATGGCGCCGGCACCCGGCCCAAACGAATTTTGATTGATCAAGGTCAGGACGGCGATGGTGGGTCGAAGGTGGCAAGTAACCGGAAGAAGACCGAGCATGTACGTATGTGACCACTACTTCAGCTCTCTCCAAAAACATGGGATAATGAAGTAGGCATACGTGGTAAGGAGCGATGCGCACCGGCAGTCGATCAAGGAAAAATCAGTGCAGTCTCTACACATAACGATTATGGAAAGGGAGTGCAGTCCAAATTGGCCATCCAAAGTGTAAATGCTTGGGAAGCTCCGAAGAACATGATGATAATTTGCGATTGTACGAGGCGATCCGCTCTGTACGGTAGTTGCATGGGATGGCACAGCTCAGCTTGTGTACACACGCTTATGGTCGTCGAAGTACTGCTGGTTAGCGTTCTTCGTGCCGGTGGTGATTCCTTATGGTCTTGAAGAACTTGTTGAAACCCCCAATTAGCGCCTCAAGTAAACGCCGTGCAACTAATAGCCAGGGCAAAAGAGTGTGATTTTTGAGATGCCGATGCCGAGGTCTTGCACGCTGTCAGATGATGACTGTGACAGCGTCATCGGAAACGATAGTGAGGATTTCGATGGTGGTAGTGACAGTAGCTGTGATGAGGCTGTGACCTCCCCGGCAGGGGGAGCGTCCCTGACGTACAAGCGAGGTCACGGAGAGGATGAAGGAGAAGAGTGTTTGTGAGCCGTGCGTGAAAGTAAGTAAAACCCACCCCCACGCGCCTTTCCCCTCGCCGGGAAAGGTAATAAACCGAGTTTTGCAGGGAGCGAGCGGACCTGGATCACTGGATGTGTGTGCCAGATGTCGTCCAGGGTGCCGTCCCGGGGCGGGTCGAAGTATGTCGCCATGTTCCTGCATGAGTACTCAGGTTCTGTCGTGGTGCACTGCATGGAAAAGCGAAGGGGGAGGTGCCAAAAGCAGCCAAGGAAGTGTTGCAGCTGTTAGAGACCCAGTCGAGATAGAAGCTGCTGGCAGTTCAGTCGGGCCGCGGCGAAGAGTTTGGTACTAAGGCCCTGGGACTGCACCTTGAGGGCTCTGGCGCACGCCAGCAACAAGGGCAGCATCTAGAGTGGGTTCCGCTGCTACACTTCCTGTGCCGCCCGCTTCGTCGCCGTCGACAAAGGGCCAAGTACAGTGCAAGGTACCGGTAGTTCAACGGTTCCAAAATATTCGCAGACCGATCGAATTATCCTTGGCTATCCCACCACAAGGGTGGGCGGGTGGGCTATTCGAATCAGGAAATCCAACAGATCTGTCCGCCATGTTGCCGTATTCCCAGTCATCGACGGGTTCGGTGATGCCCCTTTAGTGCGTCATGATGCGTGTGTGTCGTACACTCTCGAGCAGGATGGCGATGCTGAGCGACTGAATCGCACACCACTGGGGAAAACCCCCGCTGTGCTGCTGCAAGACGCGGGATTGCCGCATGCAATCCCGTGGGCCGAGGTGACGACCGCTGCATGTGCACTGCTTACAATTGCTCGCCTGTGTCCGGCAAACGGAAAACGCCATTAGCGGTGTTTTCACCATGCAAAGCCAATTGTGTCTCATCCGTGCATGTTTGGGCGCACTGTGTAAGTTTGTGCATGTTTAACGGAAAAGAATCACATATAAGCTATAGATGCTATAGGAAGGGTGTATTAGTGGGTGGGCTATGAACGCAGCTTCGAAGGGTACCGGATCCTGCAGGATGGATCCAAGTTTATCATACATAGTGAGCAAGAGTCCAGGGTGGCAAAGATGTGGGTGCAGGCATCAGCTCCAGCAGCAGCTCCAGCAGCAGCTCCAGCAGCAGCTCCAGCAGCAGCTCCAGCAGCAGCAGCAGCGGACCCGGAGCTAACCAAAACCGCATGCATACACCAACCACCACAGTTGCAACTAATGTGGCGTTCTTGGTCATATCACCACCATCAAGAGCTGGTTGGCGGCTTGATATGCCTGGCGGTGAGCACATGCCCTGGGGAGTGGTGCTCTGCATTGTCCGAGCTGGCTGCTACGTGTCTGAAGTGACGAAGCCGCACTACTGGGAGAGGCCGCCAAGGGTACCCTTAAGGGGACTGCGAGCTTTGGAATCTGCCTTGTCCGAAAGATGACGAGAAGATCGAGGGGTACACTCTTGCGGACTGGGCTGTAGTTCGTGACAATGGCTGTTCAACGACTGGCTATGCTTTTGTCCTGGGTGGTGGTGGAGCTGTAAGCTGGAACGTGAAGCAGACACGTAAAGCAGACTCGTGGTTGTGTTGCGCAAGCTACTACCGGAGTTTGGGTGTGAGGTTGATGTGATGCGTTCCTGGGGTGATAACCAGCAGGGGGCGTTGATTACCTGAGTTTGATTACCTTTATATTACCTTATATATTTCTCGGAGCGCGCGAAGTACATAAGACAAATAGAGGTGATTCACCACGTCGTGCGTGAAGGGGTGTCGATGGCGCAAATGGGGCAAATGAAGTTCGAGTACTGCCCACCAACAGCACGGAAGCGGACATTCTCACGTAGCCGCTGCCGGAGGGAACGTTCGTGCAAATCCGGGAGGGCTTGGCCGTGCGCTGAGTTAGATTTCGACTGAGAAGGAAATCTGATATTAGGACGCTGGGAGTTAGGAAGTTGGGACGAATGTACGGCATATGAGACGCGATGTATGGGACATAGGTGGCATGGCTGGCATGATGGCATGGCTGCGTAGAGATTGCCCTGCGATACCTGTATCGGTTAAGGTTTGCTACAAAACCCTACGGTGCCACTTGCTTCCCCATTTATCAGCAGTTTCCAGGGCAATCTGTACCTCCGCTCGCAATATGCTGTTGAGGCAGCCGTTCGTATTGATAACGAGTTTGCCTTGAATTTGTTTAATTTGGGTCGCTTACCGAATATGTACAACGGCTTTCGGCTGCCAAACTCCCGGAAGGAATACGGAACATAACGCTGTCTGTTGTTTCGAGACCGAACAAGAGCTGTGCTGGAGTTGTTCAAGTATACCACTTATGGTCTTTATTCAGACTTACCCGGCGGCTCCGCAGATATGAGATGCCTGATGAGAAGCTGTACGTCTCGCTTAGTAATGGGCAAGGTTGCCCTTTAGTAAAATGGATTGGCCTCTGTAGCTTGGAATTGTAACGAAAACAAGTAGCCGGTCATTTCATATTATTTGGTTCTTATTTTCAATAGAGCCTACTCTTCTTGATACCGGCCAGCAACTGCTTTAATGGATGGAAATACAGATCCATAGGAACGCACACACAAGCAGGTATGCGCATTCTAAGTAAATAAATTTTCTATATTTTCATTCATATCAAACGCAAAAAGCTGTAACGAAGTACTTAGAGCCCGCCGCAACTCTCACGGCTCGTTTTGGCTTTGTTCGGACGCACGGTAGAGTTGCATGTTGATTAAGTGCTCGTCCTGTAGTGTAGTACGGCAAGTGCGGCGCGGGAGGAGCAGACCGGAATTGGCCAGAGGACAGTGACTGATACGGTAGTGCGTTACAAAGATTAGCTGGGAACAAAGCGCTGAATCCAGACAACGCTAGTTCGCCAGTCAACCGTGCAAGCAAGCGCAAGTCAGAACGTCGTCTGTTGGGGATTTTGAATTGTTTAAATAGTGATTTACTTTGTATTCGGGACCCAGCTCAATAGTAAAGTAGATAAGGCGATTTGACGTTGCTGGCATATCGGTCGCCAGTAACAGCGAAGTGATGGCAGAGCGCGAGCAATCGCGCGGCGGAGGCCAAGAAGGCTTGGAGGACATCCTCCAACAGCGGGACGAAGGAGGACACCAGAATGGCGGAGCACCTAGTTACCCGGAGGGGGCCGATGCGGTGAGTAACAGACGCCAGCTATTGCTCCGCGCGGTCAGACTGTAGGCACAGCCAGCCGCCGCAAGTTCTGTTATATCAAAGGCATGGGAGAGACCGGAC